CACGCCAGCCAGGGGGGGATTTCCAGCCCTGCTGGGGCCGTGCCCTGGCCCCCTCCTCACCCCTCGTCCCGCCAACTCAGGGGCCGTGTTCTGGGAAGAGGAGCCGGGACTGACCACCGGAGCATCCACATCCCCCGCGGTGCCTTGGGGAGCGGGGCGATGGTGAGGGGGCATTGCACAGCCTCTCTCCATGGCTTACACCCAGATTACACCCAAGGCCAGGAGGTAATCGCAGCCACCAGCTCGTTAGCCAGCCCCAGCCTGACGGGATAAGCCTTTATCAACCAGGGATTTATCTCGTGGCAGCCGCGGTGACGCGCAGGACCCTCGGGATCTAATTACCCCGCAAAGATGCTCAGGAGCTGTTTTCCACACTGTGCTGCTCCCTGCCCAGGGAAGGTGAAACTACTGAACCCTTAAACTTTTTCTTGCCAAAATGAGCTTCAAAAGGAGTCAAACATTAACTCGCAGCTAACCCTGCCCTCGCCCGGGTTTTTCCAGTTGTGCAAACCAGATCTGCCAAAATAAATACATTTTGCTGTGTGATGGAGCTGGGCTGGAGGTGCCACTGCTCAGTGCTGGGACTCACCGTGGGTTTGCTGTGTGAGCAGGGAAATCCTGGCTGCAAATGCCTTGTCACAGCGTGGGGCTGACAGGAAGGTGCACACGTGCACGAGGTGCACATCCATCCTGGGTGTGTGCTCCTGAGGTGTGGGGTCACCACCCTGCTGTGTGCTGGGGGGCCAAAGGGTGCTGGAGAACCCTGGGCTGGGGATGAGGGAGCTGGGTAGCAGCCTGGCAGGAGATGGGAGGAGAGGGGAACCCCACAGCCAAGGGTGTGGGTGCAGCGGAGGATGATGCACCCCCAGTTACTCCATGGGCTCAGGGTCCATCCAGCGAGGTGGGAGTGGGTGTGCGGGTCCTGCCAAGGGGCTGGTTACACAGGAATCTTGGGGCTCCAGGAGCCCCAAGAGCTGCTGCAGCACCCTCTGAAATTACCTTAATGCAAATGAAAGGGGAGGTTTGGGGTGCCAAGGCGCAGCCTGGCGAGGCAAACCAGCCGGGGTGCAGGTATAACAACGTCTCATCACCAGCCCCTCCTGCCCCGTACACCCCTTGCAGCACCTGCCGTGCATGGGGCTTGGCATGGTGGGCACCAAGGGACCCTTGGGACACCCAGCCAGCTGCTCCCCTTCAGCCACAGCAGCCACCCAGGGATAAACAAACAATTAATGACTGATGGGCATGTGCTGTCCCACGCTGAGGTCTCCTGGAAGAGCCAGGGCAGAGGCAGTCCCTGCTTCCCAGGAAGTTCCTTCACGCTGGGACCTCATGCCTGGCACCCCATCACACACAGAGCTGGGAACCTCCCTGCAGGCACCTGTCCCTGTCCCTCTCCAGCTCCTGGGGGACATCCTTGCCACGGGAGAGGGGTGGCAGGGATGAGGGGAACCCCAGAAACACACTCTGGCTCCCAACACGGGAGATGCTGATGACCCAGCTGGGCGTCCTCAGCATCTTCCCCACCTGGGACTCTGCCCCAGGGAAAGGTATAAATAGGGCAGGTCTGGGGAGGAGCTGGGGCTTGTGGTGCCCAGCTGGTGTTGGACTCCCAGTGCTCCCAGTAACAGCAGCCAGCAGGCTCCTGGACATGGTGCTCCCAGACCTGGTGAGTGGAGAAGCTGCAGTGAAATGGGCTCCATGTGAGCACCCACCTGCTGCTGCTGCCAAACCCCTCCTGGAGCAGCCCCTGTCCCCGCAGGGAGCCCTGCTGTGGCACTCGGGTTTCTGGTCTCTCTTGTGACCTTCCCAGAAGGCAGCACACTGGTCCCCTGTCCAGGTGTGCCGGTGTCCCCGGCCCACTCCTTCCCCACTCATGGGCTGCAGAGAGTGGCTGGCAGCAGCTCCAGACCTGACCCACACTGGGACTGTCCTCCTCACTGTCCCCCTTCTGATGTGGCCACCGCAGGGGACTCTGAGCCCAGGCAGACTGTGGAGAAGAGGTGTTTATTACTGGGGGGGCATAGAAAGTCTTTAAGCAAAATGGCTTAAGGCTCTGCTCTAGTGAGGGCTGGGTGGGTTACAGGCTGTGCTCCCCGCTTTGTGCCCCAGGATGGGTGGGAATGGGGTGCAAGGGACTCCTGAAGCTACAGTGCTCGCTCAGGGCTTGTGCTTGGCCAGGTTGGAGCTGGTGAGCTGGCATTTACCTGCCAATGTACCTGCGTGTCCCTGCTCCGCAGCCACCTTGGCTCTGGGAGCTTGTGCTGCTGGTGGGAAAACTGCTCTGATGGGAGTGCTGGCTGTCCTGCACCCCGAGGCCTGTGCAGTGGGTACCCAATGCTAAAGCTGCTGGGTGCTGGCCCTGTGGCAGGAGAGACCCCCTCTGTCACTCTGCCCTGAGCAGGAGCTGGTGGTGATGGGGGGACAGAGACTGGTGCCATTCACCAGGTGTCCCCAATACTCTGGATGTGAAGAAGCTGAGCCCAGGAGCGCTGCGGAGCCTGGCAGCGCACACAGGTCCCTCCGGACAGCCAGGGTGGAGGGTGGCACGCTCACACCTCGGAGGAGAAGAAGGAGCTGGGCTTGGCGTGGCT